CACACAGGTGGTCCTTCCACTCAGCAGGAATGGGGGAATCCCCAAACTGGAAACTATCCCTCCCAAAAGGTGTAGCCTTGGTCTTCTCTTGGGATGGGGGCCCCCTCGCTCGCTGGTATGCGGCTTTACATAAAGCGTGCATTGGCAGCTCCTGCAGATAGTTGTTCCCTTTCCATGCCAATCTCTGGAACAGGTTTGCATTTGTCCCTAGGATTAAAGGTGCATGCTCTCTTCCCTTTGGATCTGGGCAGACCAGTGCCAATTTTTCTATTTCCTGGTTTATCCCCGCAACGTTCTTTGGAAACTGGACATTTAACAAGATATATCCCTGAGAGGGGCAGGAGTCACAGCCAATTCCCCAGAGTGTCAGGCCAGACAGGGGATGCAAGGATAAATGCTGCAGGTGTTCTCGGTAGTAAGATTCATAAAGTATGGTGACCTGTGATCCGCTGTCCAGCAATGCCTCACACAATCGTCCTTCTATATGAACAGGTACTATAGCCTGGGGGCCTATCAGCCCATCTGGGTAACCCCTGTTTGTGTTTTTTTTCTGGGGAGCCTTGGAATTTCAGGGTCTTTGGGTTGCTCCTTCCCCAAGCCCTGTTGGTGTTTCCTTGAAGCTTCCTAATGGTTTGCTGCAATCTCTGAGATACCCTTGTATGATCTGTCTTGCTTTGGCAGTCCAAGGCATAGTGACCATCTCTTCCACAGTTGTAACAGAAACCTTCTCGCCAGCTATCACCCCTCCTGCTACTCTCCCCTCTTGAGGGTGGCACAGTATGTCCCTGAGCCTTCATCATGGCCACTTCTCTGGTCAAATCTCTCAGTGCTGCTGCCACTGATGGGGGTCTCTTCCATCTCTCCAAGCAATGTGGTGGTGTGACTCCCTGCCTTGTTCGGCTGCACCACTGCATCTACTTGCAACAATCACTCCTCCTCTTCACGTATCTCTCGAATGAGCTTGTGGAATGGGGGTGGGTTTTGGGCCCGCTCCCTCAGCTGCAGTCGCCACAACATCAACCCATCTTGTCGGGTGCCCTGAAGGATTTGGTCCAACCTAGCGGAATCAATGCACTTGGTGGGGATGCCCTCCTTCCGCACTACCTGCTGTAGCAAATCCTCTAGTCTCCTGATGAAATCCGACGATCGTTCGTGGGGCTCTTGATAGGTATGGCGGAAATGATAATACAGGTCTTCACTGCTATCAGTAACACCGTAGACACTCTCAAGAGCAATTAAATAGTCTTGCACTGTGGCAGCTGGTTGGGAGTCTTTCAGGGCTCGGACAATTCGCATGGCAGGTCCCCTCAGACTCTCAAGGACACATTTCCGCTTCTCAGCATCAGAGCATTCCCACTCTTGGACAAGTGGCACAGTAAAATCCCTCGAGGTCTCGTAATCATCCTCCCCTGAGGGTACAGGTGACACCCCTGAGAAAGAACGTAACCACTTGTATGGAACACTTTCATATGCTGGCTTCAATGCATCTTTGAGAGCGTTTCCCAGCTCTTTGGCCCATCTCACCAGGCTGGATGCTGCAGGTGTTGGAGTCCCTCCTAATGCCAAAATTAATGCTTCTCTTGTCTGCTTCTCATCCACCATCAGAGCTTGCAATTTCTACGCTAAAGAATCCACATCAAGTGACAGGGGCACACTAGAAGGGGACTGCTCTGCCCCCAGAATTGTCCAGGGGATACCTTCTACTTGCACCTCCTTGGGCACTTTATCAAGATCTGCTTCTTTGGAATGAATACATAGTGCTACCATGCCCTTCACTTTGTGGTTGTAAATACGGGTGTGGACCTTTACCCTCCCTAGTATTTCAGCTGCATCTAGGCTCTCCTCAATTTCATTTGGTTCCGTCTCTTCTGGGAACCTCGCCACCAGCACAGCTTTGGTTACTGGGATTCGTGCCCCTCGGCACAGGTCTTCTAGTAATTCTCTCTCCCTTTTTTTTTTGAAATTGAGATGAAAGTCACTCAGGAGTTTCTTTGCTCTGTGAAGGAGAGCCCAGGGTGCGCAATGTAGGTGTGTGTGTACTGCAAAGTCCCCATACGGGCCACCAAGTGTAACTTTAGTGCCCTCGTGGCCAAGATGGAGTCTGCTCTGCAGGCAGCTCTTGCCAAGAGAAGGCACACACAGGAATGAAGCAGGAAAAATCCCTTCCACCCCAGGGGCACCTGTTCCAAATCCCCCAGAGTGAACACACACACAGGAAAAGTACAATGGATATAAGAAAGGGAGATATTTATTTACAGAGGGATGAGAGGAGAAAAACAACAAGGGGAAATATAGGGAGAGCAGTAAAACAGGGTTGCATTCAAACCAAGACCCCACGGGCTCAGTGGTAGCACAGTCTGGAAGGGCAGACACTGAGCAATGTGTCTGCACACAGAGTTTAGGAGTCCTGAGCAAAGTTCTAGTCCAGGTGCTCCTGGTTGTCTTCGGCACCAGTGAACTTTCCCCCAACAAACTCCTCTGGTGCCCTCTTCTGCCGCTCTCTGCAAAGCCACACAGAGCGACCACCTCCCCACTTAACTATCTAGCAACTTCCTTCCTTGTTCCCAATGTAGAGTCACAAGCCCCAGTACTCACAGCCCCATGCAGCTCTGGGCAGCCGTGATACTGGGTCCAGCTCCAGCCTGTCCTTCTCGGGCGATTCCTCCCTGGCGCAGTGCTTCTCCTGGCTCCTGTCCTGGCGTGTCCCTGATAAGCCGCCCTGGCCTTCCCAGGCTTCAGGCAGGTTCTTTGCTGCCTCACTTTCTCTCTCCCTCTCAGCTTCAGAATCACCCCCTTGAGTTTCCCTCCTTTTTTCCTCACTCTCTCCCTCCCCACTAGGAAAAAGATTTAAAGGGGCCATGCTCTCTAAACCCCAAAGAGGTTACACTAAGGGCCTATGAACACATATGAACATTTCTGATTCTAGTAGAAGGCAGTTGTGTGCAAACACACATGTATGCACACTAGTTCAGTACAATACCAAGACCCCTTGCAACCATAGCTACTGCATCTTGATCACATTTATTACATTGTCATCACTTTAGCAATGGAATGGTTTTTACACAACTGACACATGTCTGATGTGTATTTATCAGAAACAGGATTTCTATCCATCTTTCATGCAGTACAAAAATACGTTTATGAAACCACAAAACGTAATGGTGCACACGTCAGTGCTTGCGGTTGACCTACTTTTTCATTTTTGTTATACACTTAGGGGCAGATTTGTAAGTATCTTCTGGATACCAGAAGAAAAACCATCTGAAATGACCAACTCAGATGGTCTACAGCTGTTTTGCATCACCAAAGCAGTACAAAGCACTGGAATTTACGAATAAATCTGGCCCATAATGTACTGGTTTATACATTCATTCCACTGTGAAATCAATAAGCACTTTTTAATTGGTTCCGATTCACACTGAGACTGCTTCCTTCAAATTGCACGAGACAAGCTTGTTTCTGCGTATGTCTATGAATCAGTATGTATTTATCTGTAGACTAATGTATGTAACTGCATTGACTATGAACTTTAACACTTTGAACAGGAGATCAAATCTGTAACAGTGTCTCATATTTTGTATTAATTAGTGTTGCTTTAACTAATAGCTTTCGCTATTTTGTCTTTTTTTTAATTTGAGTCAATGGACATTTTAGTTCTTCTCTTGTTTCAACCTTTGTAATCTGTGGGGAAGAATCTTACTAGCTACTCAAAACATGAAATATTAAAAAGGTCAAAAAACTCGGTGTTATGACTAGAGCAGAGTGAGACATAAATTATGTAAAATGGGACAAACTCTGCTTGCATGTTGATGCAAATGCATTGACTTTAGTGTAGGTGCAGCTAACGTAGCTAGCACCTATGAGCGTTGTAGCCTTCCTCAGCTGTGTACTTTATGATCTTATCAGGAAAAATGACTGTCTTTAACGAACATCAGTATTTGGGCCTCAATCTGCTGTGTTGTCACAAAGATTTCACCTCCAACAGCACAGTGACCCCATTTCAAGTCCTTGGTTCATCATTTTTGGCTGCCGGTTAAGTTCTAACTCAGAGGTAGAGTTCCACCTAAGGATAACCTAAGGAAAGCAAATATGAAAATATATAACGGTTGTAATTTACACTGATTTACACATAAAGAAAACATGAGGGAAGCTCAAATTTAACATCTACTAACCTATGCACAGTGCAAAGGAATAACTGCATTTAAAACAACTCCACCACAGCTTCTTGACCAATCGCTGCCACTTTCCTGGCACACTGGTCAGTATATGTGTAGTTCTATAGGTTAATCCTAATTTACTCACTTTATGGGTAATAAACTCATCAAGGAGGAAATTAGCATGACCCTCTGTCCATCAGGATTTCAGGGTTTGTTTCTAAAGTTTTGACTCAATCAGATTATCTAAAAAGCAAGAGGAAAACTGACTATTACCATATGTTCAGCACTAACAGCCATTAATTTATGTGTTAAGAATGGAGTAAGATCACTGGCAACATTCATCTTCTGAATTATTCTAGATAGCTTGAGAAAACTGTCAACCCAGTTACCAGCTAATCGAGAATTGTTTGTATATTGGAACCTTGCTTCCATTTATTGAATTGTGTGAAACTAGAGCACTATGCTATCTGGTAATCATTCCACTGAAGGTTCTCTCTCTCTCTCTCTCCTGAACCAGTTTTGGTTTGTATCTTAATCATCAGAATTTGGGGATCCAAATTTACTACTGGTGTAAGCAGGCTGAACTCCAGGGGCTTTAATGGAATTGCACCACCAATGCTGGGAATGAAGCTGGATTAAGAGTGTTTTATGGGGCTATAGAACATCCCTTCACTGGTTGAATCCAGAGACTGAATATACATGAAGCTTGTAAAGCCCCATAAAATATTGTCCTGTAATAACCTGCTGCTTGGTTCTTCAGCTATTAGTAATATAACTTGTTTGAGTCTATATGTTTCACAAAGACAAACCAGTCACAGTATATTAACTGTACCTATTTCTCCCGTTTGAGTCCAGAAGTGAAGCCATGTCCCCAATGAATGAGACTCATCACAACTTTCTCTGCTGCAGTATGCCGTATTGGATATAAACAGCTATCTTTTTTGCCAACCCAGAGTGCAGCATCATGTATTCATAAGATGGGAAGAATTCTGGAGCAAAGCCTAGGTAGGAGAGGCAGATTAGCTTGAGACACCAGAATATATTGACATTTTATAAATTATTCTATCTTTAATATAAATTATTCTAGGATTTTTTAACACTTCTAAAATATCTTTCCCAAAAACATATATTTTAAGAAGTTCCTTATACCAGAAGCAGGGCCGGCTCTGGCTTTTTGGCCACCCCAAGCGAAAAAAAAACCTGTGGCGCGGCCGGAGCCAGGGTGCAGGGGGACTCCCTGTGCTGCAGATGTGCCCTGGCTAGCGGGGGGAGGGAGAGGGAGCGGGGAGAGAGAGAGAGAAGGAGGGTGGCCAGGGCTTCAGTGGGGTGCTTCCACGCGGCCCCTCCCGCCGTGCCCCCTGCCGGGAGGGCTCCGCATCACTCCGGTCGGCTGGGAGGGAAGGACGCGGGCTGCCCTGCCTGGCTTGCTGCAGGGCGCTCCCATTCTCCACGCCGCTGGCCCCTACAGGGCGGCCGGAGCGGAACAACAACAACAACAAAAAGCACCGGGCTGCCCTAGGACTGGGCAGAATGCCGCCTCCTACAAGCTGCCGCCCCAAGCACCAGCTCACTCGGCTGGTGCCTGGAGCCAGCCCTGACCAGAAGCGTATTTATGGGGGAGGGAGGAAAGTGTCTCACTTACCTATTATAGTCTGAATGAATGCTGAATTGTTTTCCCCATTAGAATGATCATCAATGTAAGAGTTGTCATTGAGAACATTGGATTTTTTCTAGAAGCTAGGATTCTGGATAGAGAAAACTGATCTTAAAAGGAAAACTCTTATTTACTTTCAAATATTTATCATTCTCAGTTATGGGATGAGAAACATAGGGGACAAGTACGTACCCATAGATTAGGGTTTTGTAAAGGTTACCCAGTTGTGAAATCTGAATTGAACTTCACATGCAAATAGATAAGACTTGCAAATGTTGTGGGCTCAGTAAATGAGGCTCAGTGAAAATTGGACCCTTACTGTTGATTGAATATCCTCTTTGCAGAGACATCATTATTTAATACTTGTATTTCATGTCATAGATGTGCATGGCACTTTAAGTAGAAACTAAAGACATGAGGTGAAATCCTGGCCCCATTGGAGTCAATGGGAATTTTGCCACTGACTTTAGTAGAGCCAGAATTTCAGCTGACCCATGAAGTTTACAATCTAGGGGCACAAACCCACAAAGATACTCCCATTGACCTCAGTGGGATCATTCAGAGTAGTAATTGCTATGTTGCTAATGTTTACAATATTGATCCCTACGTTAAATACAACAAAGCATGATGCAGAGAACAGTTATGGTGAAGGAACGAGAGAGGACAGAGATGAGATAGCTTGAGTTTACGGAGTTATGGATCAAATTAGGACTTTTTTGAGGGCACGAGGGTTTGATTCTGTAACAGCTCAGATGTGTAGTCTCCCCTTTCAAGCCTCTGTTTTGTTCATCCTGTCTCTTCTCATCCAGCTGATTGTTTTGTGATGAGAAATCACAAAAGAGCTGGCCAGGAAATGGACTTCCATGAAAAAAAAATTTTTTTCTATAAAAACCTTTGTCCTGAATCAGGCTGAAAATCCAAAATCTTTGAAATGAAGAATTGTGGACTTCCAGTTTCAGAAATACAACCTCAACAATATCTCTGAAACAAAATATGCTCCCATATTTCCTAGGCTTCCTGGCTTCCTGCTCCTGGACAGCCTGCCTTGTGTGCTGCTGAGGAGCAGGGAGACTGGCAGCCCTGGGAAATTAGATGCAGGGTTCCCAAGGCTTCCCGTTCCTTGACAGCCCACCAGGCAGGCTGCTAGGAGCCTGCAAGCCCTGAGTGTGTGGAAAACTTTTCTTCAGAATATTTCCAGCCAATTCTACTTCCATAGCTCTCTCCTTCACTTCATTTCCATGAAATCAGCCATGCAGTATGATATCTAATCTAATCTTATCTATATATTCATTATGGCTCCAACTTTAGCTTCAAATCCTAACTTCTCTCTCCAATTAGTTTTGAAACCTCTTTGCTGTAGTGTGTATATATAATCCCTGCAAATGCTTAGTTATTCCAGTTTGTGCAGTGCCCCTTGATCTGAGTGCTTTGCTTTTTGATACCTGTCTCTTGGGAGGAAGGAAGAGCGAGCACCTCCTTATCAGAAATATTTTGAGGTAGGTTTCCTAGTAATTGCACTGACAGTTTGCTCTTCCTGAAAAATCCTTTGGGGAGTACATCATTAGCTCATGTTAAATAGCACCATGGTGCTCTTCAGACCCAGTACTGGTTGGTGACAGCTTTGTATTAAATAATGTGAAAGACCAAGTGAAAACCAAAATACAACTTCCATAGAATCATAGCTGCAAGTTTAGAGATAGAAAAGACCCATCAGGTCACCTCGTCCAGCTGCTGCAGAGCTGTTTCCTAATCGTACTGCAATGCTTCCCCTTCACCGCTAGCTTTATATAAGTGGGGCTGGAGAGATGATATAAGAGAATGTAGAAGCTAAGTGTTTTGCTGTGTTTCCTTTAGCCAGCTCTAAGGGAGACATCTGCTTTTGTAGTAGATAGGGCCCTGCATCCCAGAGATTTAGCCCTAATGATCCATCTGTTTGTGACTTCCAGGTTTGATTACTGCGTCTCATCATTTATAACACAAGCATCATCACACCCTGAAATGGCTCTAACTGGTAGAAATGCAGAAGTTTGTCTATTTTGGCAACACAGCAACCTCTGCACTGTTAAAGGTCTCTGTGCTAATATTCTCAGTGCTAAGTAGCATTGACCTGAACTACCTGAAAGATCGCCTCTCTGCCTTCATGACCATTACGTTCCTCCACAGCTATGTACCTATAGAACTATTGCATGTATCAGCCAATAGCATGAGGTTGAGTGCCAAAAACAGAATATTCACAGGAACTGCCCATATGGTAGGGTAATAGGCATGGATTTCAGTGTTCAGAAATGAATTCAAAGCCCATCACTTGACTCAATGTTCTCACAATAGCTTTCCACATACATAGTTACCTTCACACACACTCTCAAACTATTACCCATTCAAGTTTTATTCCTACAACTGGGGAAGGGAGAATTTTTTTGTACATTGTTATTGTTACTACTTGGGAGTACTGTGGTGACAAGTGTCTTAGACCTAAGGAATTGTGGTTTCTGCCCTTCATTCAGATACAACAGAGTTTCCATTGGTGTCAGAGTTGCAGGATGGTGCTGAACTTGATCCACATGGGAATATAGAATAAAGATGTACCAAGCAAGTGTTACTGCTACAATCTGAAAGTAACAGAAGAGGCTAGATTTAGGGAAGACCAAGAAATGAAGGAGAGAAGGCTGAGACAGATGGAGGACGTCCTATAGTAGGTGAACAGAGAAGATCTGATGCCAGCTAATGGGCTTGGAGAGCTTGGCTTATGCTTTTTGGTACATATTTTGCAATCTGAACTTTGTGTAAAAGTAATGTAAACAGAATCCATTTGATCATTTCTAGTGTCTCAAACTTTTTCTTCCAGAACTGTAACTTTTTTTATCTAAGCCATCCAAGTATGAAATACCTGCTGACCTAAACAGGTACCAGTGGCTTGGCTGGAAGGATAAATATTCACAGTGGTTTCAGTCACATGTTCCATCTGTAGCATATAAAATAGTGCAACTTTATTGAATTCAAATCTGTCCTGACATTGGACTCTTGTTTCTAAATAATATTGCATCATATGCTTTTAGACATTATTTATTGTTCATTGGACCAATTCTCTGTGAGATGCAGGAGGTTTAAGACTTTACTGAACTCTTACCAAAGGAATTTCAGCATATCTGTTTGTTTGGACAATATTTTAAATTCTGGTCTCCTTTATTTTGATGGAATAATCTTGCACTGTTGGCATTATCCTTTAATAAAATATATATGTTATATTCAAAGAAAAATGATCTCACCTTGTTTATTCAGATGCTTCCATATAATCTCCAGTTCTTTGGGTACTGAACTGGGAGTCAAGAGACGTAGATTGAATTCCTGGCTCCGCCACTGAGCTGATGTTTGACCTTGGGCAGGTCATGCTGTGTGGCTAAATTTCACCATCTGTGAAATAGAGATGATGTTTACCTGCCATTGTAAAGTATTTGGCCATCTTTATTAGACAATTGAGTTCCAAGGAACTGAAGTATGGAAGGGTTACTACTTCTCTTGGGACTTTATTGCACAGTCGAATCATACTTAGTCTTAAAAATTTCTACTGATATTTGCCTAAATTTTGTTTTGCTCAATATCATCCCGTTCCACTACTCCCTAGTTATATTCCCATGTATCTTCCTATATAATTCTCTAAACTTTATCCTGGCTCTTTGTTCATCACCTGCCAGATAACTTCTTCTCTCACTAGGTTTGTAAATCCTTTTGACAAAAGATAACATTTTCAAAAGTACCTAAATTACTTGGAAGCCTAAAATGCATTTTCAAATGCGTCAGTCACTTACACTGTTAGTGCCATGGGCTCCCATCTCTGATACACAAGTTGTACAATAGTATAATTCTCTTGAGTTTAGTGGATCAACTCCTGATTTGAAATGGTATTAGTTAGAGGAAAATTGGGCCTACAGTGCCATGTTAACAATTATCGATAATCAGAATTTTCATCCTACAGAAAATTCTGATATTTTGACATTTGTGTTGTCTCCCCAAATGAGACAAAAAGTTGAAATATATATTAAATAAAATCTGTAAAGAAAAGTTCCAAAAATTTAATTTGTTAGAAAAATGTCAAAATAAAACATTTCCAAAACAATTTTTTTAACATTCTTGACATGTTTTAACAACCTGTTTCATATTGGTCAATTTGACATTAATATGGGCTTCCCCTGACCTCCCACAGTGCCTCGTGGGAACTGTAGCTTGGGTTCCTCAGGCCCCCATTCTCCTCTATAGGCCAGACTAATTGTCCAGACCACTATATGTTCCATGATGCACCACACTCACAGGACGTCCATGATGTATCATGGCATTCAACTAGAGGAGACTCCATGGTAGGTTCTGGGGCCTTCACTCATGGGGGAGAATAGGGGCATGAGTTACCTGAACTACAACTCTTATGAAGCATCACAACAACTCAGACAGACACAGATTAATGTCAAACTGACCCAAACCAAAATATTTCAATATGCTTTGACAAACTGAAATGTTTCAATTCAAGACAACCCAACCCAAAAATTAAATACTCGATTTGGATTTTCCCAACAGAAAATTTAGACATTTTAGCAAAAACAAAATTTACCCTCAGAAAATGTTGATTTTGGGGAATCAACATTTTCTGTAACAATAACATTTTGATGGAAAATTCTCAACCAGTTATAATAATTTGCATATATCAACAAGCTATCACTTCCTCTTTCAAAGTTCCTCTGTAATTGTTTTCCATTCTGTCAGACATTTACATTAGTTTGGTATTTCTGTCCTTCTAGATATGACTGTATCCTTTACAATCACTTCCGTTATCAGGTAGATTTCATGCAAACTACAGTACTGTGTGCCTTGTTGTATTCTATTTTCTGTAGTTAGACCTTTTGTGGTTTTATATTTATAGCACACATACTCTGAATAACATCGGACCTTCTATTTTTGGTAGCCCACAATGTATTTTTTTTAAATTGTTGAGATATTACGGATCCTTCTCCTGCCTCTGTGTGTAAAGCAATCTTTTCATATCTGATATTCCGATTAACTCCTCTTGGATTTCCTATATACTGAATAAGGTATTTTGCTGAACCTCTTAGGAAGTGGAATAGAGAAGCCAAAGTACAAGAGGGGAAAGATGGGCATGGGGAGGTAAAAGTGGCTTGAAGCTGGAGTGGCCTAGTGGCAAAATCACCGCCATTGTTAGGGGCTACTCTGACTTAGGCAGTCATGGGGTGAGTGCCACAAGGTCTGCTGTGCAGCACAGAATAGATGGGAGGCTCTGTGTTCCCAGAAGCCTTTACACTGGAACTGAGAGGTAGCATAGGGGCATATTCACCATCCCAGCACTGCTTCAGCACCAGGAAAATTCCTCCAGGTGCTATTATGTATTCCCTTTACAGGTCCTATATGCTCTCAGAGGAGTGTAAACAAGGGCCACAGTGGAGACCAGGATCTGCCCACTGACTTTCAATGTTCTCTGACTGTGGAAAATATTTCACTGAGTTGTCTCCCATTATTAAAGAGAAGATTTACTGAAACTGGAGCTCATACTTCATGTCTATATTGGGGAAGGCAAGTTCTGTAAAATTGTCAATATGGCCTAGCATTTACTTTCTCTTTTGAATGGTTCCTTTATTTATTCTCATCTCTGTTTTCAAATTAAACAAATGGTGCTCAAGGTCTGTCTGATATAAGGAAGGGGAATTTGATGTAGAATGGAAATCCCCAAATAAGTGCCTTTTTTAATTATTTTATTTGCTAGGATTTAATGTCACTAAAAAATTATGATGTGGACACACATAACTGAAGTGCCCATTCCAAAGTATTCGGCAGTGCGGCATTGTTTGTGTGGAATTAAGAAGTGAGCATCTGGCCAAACTGTATCTGTCTAATGTTAATATGGTTTTATTCTGAATATACTGTCTGATGACTTAATCATTTTTAATATATTGTTTATGGCTGATGAACTCTATTATCTTCTCTTGCCTTGCTCTGTATCTGTTATGCTGTGTGGACTTTCCGCTTGATAGAATTTTAATAGGGTTGTGCCTGCTACTGATTTTCAGAGGCTAAATGTGTTGTATTATTTTTTGACCTCTGATTTTGTTGTCTGGCTGGCAACATGTATACAATTTTGAAGAGAGGGGGAAAAAAACATTTCAGACAAAATAACTTCTACAAGCAATGCTGCACATTAACGCTATTAGTAGAGGTTAGCAGAACTGTATGTAGCTTGTGTTGGGATTTACAGACCCCATACAAAGACTTGTCTACCTTTACAGCATTGCAGCAGCACAGCTGCGTCAGTGCCACTGTAGTGCTTAGTGAAGACTCTATCTATGCTAAAGGGACAGCTTCTCCCGTCAGTGTAGGTCTTCCACCTCCCCGAGAGGTGGGAGCTAAGTCGACGGGAGAAGCCCTCCTGTCGTCATAGCGCTGTCTACACGGGGACTTCAGTCAGTATACCTGTCCTGAGCAACATACTTATAGTGATGTATGTTTATAGAGTAGACCTGGGCTAAGGGAGTGGAGGAGCAATATTGGACCAATGGGGGCCCTGCTCCTCAGCAGCTGCGGAGCAAATTTCAAATGGAGGAGTCCCGGTGTCTGGCACTCTCAGTTGTGGGTCACATATCAATCTTAGGTCAGACTGTCAGAAAACAGGGCAGACACCGCAAACTGGAGTTTTATAATTATATAATTAGATTCCACCAAGCCAGTAACAAATGTATGCTCTGGATTACTATTAGTCTCACCATGGAGCCACTCAGTCCTCTTAAGCTCTCCAGCACATCTTGCCACTTAAACAAGCTGGACTTCTGTGATGAAAGATTATTAAAACCAAAAATCACCTCACATTAGGTTACTCCCAGCCCCAAAGGGCCGGTCACTTACCCCAGGTCAATGGATGCTCTGGATCTCACACCAAAAATAACTCTGGTAGCCAATCCTTTAGTAAACTAACTAAAGATTTATTAGCTAAGAAAAAGAAATGAGTTATTGAGAGGTTAAATCAGGTAAAGTACATAACAGATGAAGCAGAGTTTGTAAGTCCAAATGATAGCAGTGATGTGGTATCTGCTAGTTTCATCATGGGTCTCTCAGGGTTGCCCAAAATGGCTTTGGAGATCCCTGTCTTTTATCTGGAATGCCCCCTGACAACATCCAAATAGATCAGAGATTCAGAATTGCTCCGAGGGTTCCTTCTTATAGCTGAAAACAGTCTGTCAAGCATTTCCATCACAGCATAGGTTCATAGATTTCCCATTGTTGAGCACACAATGACCCACACTTTGAGGTCAACATGTTCCTTCATTTACATTCCAAAGGCTCCAATCTCCAGTGGGTAACCATAATTTAACCACAATATGATAAATAGAAACAATTCTTCATTAGTTTTCATGCAGCTTTACACATCAAGTAAATTCACATTTAAATACTAATGCACATTTCAATCTAAGGCTAATTAAGTACAGGAAAACAATACTGTCAGCATCTTTCTTGATTTCTATCAGCAGAAGTGAATTGGCCTGAATACATATTGACACACTCAACCCTTCTTTGATATTCAAACACAAGTGAATTGCCCTGTTGCTCTGATCTGAGGTGGTCTGTCTGCATCACAGAGCTGGTAACCTGTTTAGAAAGCATTACAGGAAGATCTGCTCGAAAGAGGACTTGACAGTTAAGTAGAGAGAGGGAGGCTGAGGCTTGGGTTTCTTGATGACCGGGCTGCTGAGGATCGAGGTAGTAGCTGGGAAAACCAGAGTGCTGGCTGGCTCAGGGAAAGGCAGACCCAGTTTGGAGTGGGGGTGGCACTGGGGGAAGGGGTGCCTGGTCTGAAGACTGAGCTGCTCCACAGGACTCGGAAGGAGAACAAACAGAGATGGAAGATTTAATGAATGATACTGAAGCTAGTTTAGAAAATGTTGAAGGGGATGGCAGGGAGAAGACTTGGTTAAAGGTTAGAAAAAAGAAAATGGTGGATCTGTCTGATCCAGAAGAAGGAGCAGCAAGGAATGAACAGTGGACAAAACTTCATAATTGTGAAATCACTGCTAGCAGATGTGAAGAGAGGGGATATTAATCCCCTGAGAGTAGCAGAGTGGATTCAGAAATGGGATGGCGATATAGTAAGAGCTGAGAAACTACAGGTGGTGATTTGTTAGTGGAATGTAAAAACAAAGAACAAGTGGGGAAACTACGTAAGGTTAAGGGTCTAGGAAAACTGAAAGTAAGCTGTCAGCTGCTCAAATTTCTGATGCAAACCGGAAGGGTAGTTTATGCTACTCTGATTGAAATGATTGAAGATGCAATAATAGAAGGTATAGGTAATGATAAGGTGATTTGTGCTAAGTGGTTAATCAGCAGGAGAGGCGGTGAAGCAAACCCTCAACAGCTGTCCTAGTCACATATCAAAGGGTCTCTGTCAGAAAGAATGACAATAGGGTACCAGATTTTCTAGATTAATCCATATAGCCTTCCTCTTTTGAGATGCTACAGTTGCCAAGGA